TAAAGATTTAGAAAGGAAGAAATAACAAAAAATTAAAAGAGGCACAAAAAATGAGCCCAAAATAAAAAGACGTGCAATATACGCCAAAATTAAAAGATGCACAAAGAATATCAAGAATCAAAAGATATAAAATGTGCGTAAAAATTAATAAAGAGGCATAAATGAGCCCAAAATAAATTTGCTTATTTTTCTTGTAAATCTAGAAAACTTAGAAAACCCATATGTCTATTAATATTTTTTAATGCTTGACTTTGAAAATGATTAATGTTTCATCTTTATGCATTGATATTCTATTAGATATATTTCATGCAAGAAGTTGAAACAATGATTAAATTTCTTTCTTTAGTTTTTCTTAGAATTAGATTTTTGTGAAAGTCGCTTCTTACCAAAGCTTGAGCTGGATTAGGCAAAGTCAATTCATTTCTTACTAAAGTTTTTTATTTAAAGAGGTAATTTTCACATTCAAAGAAAATTTACTAAAATTAATTAATTATTTATGTGTGTGTTCTTTTAAAATGATTTTTTTTTGTTTTATTATTTTGAAATTATTTTATGAATGCTTGCATTGTTCATTTTGTCTTTATAAAAAAAAGTGTGGTTATGTGTTTTTTTTAACTTTGATTTATGTGATTTTCGCTTAATTTTAGTGTGATTTATTTTACATTATTTTTTGAGCTTTTCTGATCATCACACACCATTATATAATTTTTGTTTAGATCATATTGTGCGATATGATATCATCCTATATGATCTTCATAAAACACCAAATCACAAATCACAGTACATCCAATGGCTCATATTAATCAATTAATGGTGATTATATTGTACGAACACCTACTTTATATTGTACGATCCACAGGGTGGTAGACATTAGTTGAATTTAATTCAATTGGTATGATATTAAATATCGTATCATACTATGTAAATAACTATTCGTACTGTATAATAAGACCAGTCAACAATCATCTAGATTGACACCTCAGGATGAACATCTTCTCTCTAATTGTCCAGTACAATTCTGATCATACTATATGATGAGACCAACATTTTAACTAGATCAGATTGGATGAATTGATTACATTTGATCATTTAATATGATCACATGATCGTACTATATGATACATCCAATCTATTTAAACAGAGGGATTTCAATGATTTTCTTCACACAATCTTTAAAACTTCTAATCTTTTTCTTCCCTCCAAAATTAAATTTCTTACAATGGCTAGAGAAAAAAGCTCTCATGCATAAGTCAGTAGTTTGTCCCAACTCCCTATAGATTCCATATTCCAGGATGCTGCTGACAAAGAGACCTATCAGAGGTATAAAGATGCTAGCACCACCCTCTCAAAAATTATCAAACAAGATGATTTAAACTTCTAAGTATTTTATCACTCTTTGCTCATACCACTCTCACCTGCATTCTCACTTTTGCATACCCCTTTAACTTTGAATTGATTGTTATTTGATTGAAAAATATAGTGGTTTAAAAAGTATTAATTTTCTTTGGAAAATATTAATTCTTAAAATTTTGTAATTGAACACATCATTATAAATAATATATCACCTTGGGAAGTGAACATATCATTCTTTAATGGATTTGAATTATAAAATTTAAATTCATCGTGATTATAGTAGTCAAACTCAGGAAAGAATCATATATGACCATGGAAGGTCAACGTTAAATTCAATCGAGTGTTTGACCACGTTAACCTGGATAAAAAATCATTAATTTTATAATCAAAACCACGATAATGATTGATATATCTCTCCGAAAAAAGAAGATATCAATCACTATCGATCCTTTGAAAATGACGATAATAATCATCGGGTTTGATTTTTCCCAAAGAGAATTAATTAAGGTTTTGAAAATTTTATTTTTGAAAAATTAGATCTCAGTTTCTAAATCTCTTACGAGCGCAAGCCCTTGTAGTTAATTACATCATAGGGGAAACATTGGATCGAAATTGAGCACTTACTTTTGGAGTCAAAGGAAGAAGGGTAGGAAGTATTTTGAGATTCTGAATTACTTCAGAAACACCCCAGCCTATCCTAAGTGTTGGGCTTGAATTTGATTGAAAGAGATATTTGATTATAGATTGATCCAATGTTATTAGAAAATTGGGATTCAATTCCCGGATGTTGAGGTCTTATAGATTGATCCTGCCTCAGAACCTAAGTCTAAATTGGATACTAAAAAGTAACCCGAACCTAGCTAGTGCAATACAAATCTGGACTTACCCCGGCCTGGATTGGGAAGCCAGCTAAACCACCAAGGTGCTTTAAAATCATGTACCTAGTCAATTATGAAAGAGTGGTTAAGGACATTAATTAGATTAAGTTTTAGGAAACGAGACCGACATCTAGAGTGGTCCATAACTTGGCCCCTTGACACATGTTGGGTAATATGCTTAAGCTAATGCATTTAAAGATTTAGACACTTTTAAGTTTGTATCTAATGCGATGTATGCTAGTTGACTCGATTGAGTATTTATATCAGGATGAAGAAGTTTTTTAAAAAAGGCTTAAAAAATATTTTTTTCCTAAAAGATGTATAAATTCCCCTTGGACAGATCTGTACACTCATAGGCCAGGTGGTCTGCCAAAACTCGTAGGCGGGGAGGTGCCTAACAAAGGAAAGAGAAGTGAAACAAATATGTATGCGAACTCCTGGTGGTCCCGGGCTTACCTCTTAAAACATTAGAGTTTCTATGTTGACTTAAATTTTTTTTTATTTGATTTAAGTAGAAAAATTTTAATAAGTCCTTAAGATCCTAAATCGGGTTCCAGGCTAAATCAAAATCAACATGCAAAAATCACTAAGAAACTATAAAAAGCAGGCAATACTATATCACAATCAACATCAAATATTAATCAAATTAATTAAATTAATATTCAAATTGAAAGTCCATAGGCAAGTGCCTTTTAATAGTACATCCTAGAATTGCAGAAAAGTAAAGTGGCCTACACCACTGACAACAACCCGGATTTCTAATCCTATGACTCAAGTGACTTTGAGAATGGGTCTTCTCATTATCCACTTCTTCATCCTTCTGTTGCTTCTTGGATTGTCGGGTCCGGATATCCAAATAAAAAGAAACTCCCCCTTGAGCGGGGTGTTATCTTTCCTCTTTGGATATTTGAAGGATATCCTAACTTGATCTTCTAAATGGAAGAAGACTCCCCTTTAGGGATGTCTTCTCCTCTTTGGAATTCAAGTTGGATATAAATATCACATTCTCAAATCACTTTTACAATTAAAACTCAAATCAAATCAAATTTATATTAATTAAAATTGAAAAATCTAGACTCTATCCTATAGGGTTATCTTAATAATCAACAGTTATATATATAATCCCAAGCAGTTATAATTGATCTCAAGCAGTTGATATATTTTAAATTTAAAATGCTCAATTACTCATAATACAGAGCATAAAAAAGTAAGTAAACAAATACATCAATTCTAGGCTAACAACTAGCATGCAGTGAAAGCTCAAAAACCTGGCACACAGCAGAAAGTAAACACCGGCCTAGCCTAAAACTAGAGTTGGCTGTCCTAGGAAACCATCTAAAGTGTGTGAGGTAGGCTTTGTGATTTGGATATGTTCCATGGAAGACAATTTGTTAAAGTTGTTTGAAGTTTTGATTGGTTGAAAGGCTTAAGGGAAAGTTTAGGTTTGAGTTTAAATATAAATGACTTAAAGTTAATTTTAAATAAATTTTAATTATTTGTTGGATACCACCTTTATTTCTCACCGAGACCGTGAAGTTTATTTCACCTTCCTTAAGTCTAAGGTAAAGCCTCATAGGCCTAGGTTACCCAATGGTACCTGGTATAAATAACTAACTTAAGTTGATTAAGGTTTAAAAGTTAATAAATTTTAATTAATATTAGTTGATTGTTGGATTTAAAAGTTGATTATAGATTTTTTGAGTTTAAAGTGATTTTTAATTTTTATGAATTTTTGGGTTATTTTAATCATTTAATTAATTTTTTTTTGAATGGGCATTATAGATAGAGAGAGAAACTACCATTAGAGAGAGAAACTGCCAGAATTTTTGAATTTTGATTTCGCGGATTTTCATCAAATCTCATCGCCGGTTTCTGGTGATGACGGCGGAAGGCCACTGACCTGCTGTCCGCGGACATAATAACATTGGAAGATCGAATGGACTTTTCAGAGACGACCGTCGTCAATCATTTCTACGTTTGGATTCAAGAAATGCTCATGTGAAGATGTCTGCAAGACCTCTAGTAATCAGAGATGTAAGCGATTCTCCGATGATGAAGATTGTCAAAGTTGTTGAAGGTAAAGGTAAGAGCATTATGACAAGTCCTGATTGCATTACTCCTCAACTTCAAAAATCAAGTGTAAATCTGAATCCGAATTCCAATGGTTTCGAAGCTTCTTCATCAGAAATGAAGATTTTTGTTAACAAATTCGGTTGTTCAAATGCAATCTCTGATCTATGGCCAGAGATAAATGCGAATAACATGAATGAAGTTAACAATAAATCCCATTATGATGATAAGCACTCTTCTGTTCTTTGTAATGAATTTCCTGTTAAGTCCCCTTTGCAATCTGGAAATGCTGAGAAGAAATGTTCTGAGGTTTTTTTCGAGAAGTGTGAGGTTCAGAATGATAATGGATTGACGAACATTTGTGAGGATACAACAATTGACAAAGGAGAAGGTCCTAAGGAAAGCTTCTCTAATGCATGGAAGAAGATCCAGCATATCAGGCTTAATTAAGATATGAAATCAACTCCAATTTCTGATGATGGTTTTAAGTTGATTATGAATTCAAAATGTGAAAATGCTAATTCACACATTCTAAGGAATTCTCTGGTTATTAATGTTTAGGGAAGAAATATTCCTTTTCCTGTATGTAGCAGAGAACTTCGGAGGCAATGGTCCAAATTTGGTAATTTTTATCTCACAACTTTGGGTCTTAATTGGATCCTCTGTTCTTTTACCAAACTGGAAGCTGTGGAAGAAATCATGGAAGGAGGTCCATGGTTTATTGGAGGAAACATTATTGGTTTGGATAAATGGTCCCCATCATTTATTCCTGAATCCCTTAAAGGGCTTTCAGCACCTGTTTTGATTCGCATGCCATGTTTGCCTTTACACTGTTGGGATGAACATAATATATGTAGAATTGCTTCTATGATTAGAGTTCCTATATATCTAGATGGAAACTCATTTAAATGGGGTAAGAGGGAGTATGCAAGAGTTTGTATTCGTATCGACTTGGATAAAAAATTACCAAAAGGAGTTTATATTGAAGGAAAGCATGGTAGATCATTCCAAAAGGTTGAATATGAGAAGATCTCATCTCTTTGCTATCACTGTGGAAAAATTGGACATCTCAAGAACACATGCCCTCTTACCAATCCTGCAAATACATTTTCTCCTATCACAAATGTTAGTAATGAAGGGATGTTCCATGAAGTAGGTGGTTCTAATGAACATGATGAATTAGGACCTTGGATACATGTCAAATTCTAGAAGAATAAGGTATTTGGTAAAACTGCAGTTTTTCCAAAATAGAAAATTGAAATCAGAAATCAGAAATCAGAAATCTGGAAACCTGTAAATCAGAAGAATCCTCCAATATATATTGCTTCAACCATAGAAGAAGGAGAGATCATTGAACCACAAAATAATGTTGCTATTCAAAATTCTAGACCTGATGCCAAGGGTAACTCAATTGTCAATTCTGACTTTTGTTTGAAGAACAACTTCAGTGTCCTTGAAGAAATATTGGATGATACAAGCATGGGAGATACTTTGGAGAATGATGTTATTGCTGAACAAGTTCAGACAGGGAAACTGCCACCAAACATTGTAGATTGTACTTCTCCTGATAATTCTATCAAGAAAAATTTGGTGATAACAAATAATGCTAATACAGGTGAATATGCTTTCAAAATAGCTTCAGGAAAATTTTAATTGTCAAAAGAAGTAAGGGATTTGGGTCCTGTGGACACTCTCAGTAAGAATAGAGGAGTAAATAGAAATAAAAAGAAAGGTGGGGATACCTCCCCTCCTTTGCATTAATGGCTTCCCTTATTTTCTGGAACTATAGGGGGGCCAAGAAGAAGAAGGCCTCCCTCTATCTCAAGGAGATAGTAAAAGATAATGAAGGTTGTTTTATAGGTCTTGTAGAGACCAAAATCTCAAGTTTTGACAGACTTGATGTTGATAGAGTTATTGGGAAGGAGTGGGACTTCTTCCATCATCCTTCTGAAGGTAATTCAGGTGGAATCATTACTCTATGGAATAGAAATAATGCCTCTTTTGAAGTTTTGGATCATTCCTCTCAAATCGTCATTGGGATGCTCAAATCCCCTTTGTTTGGCTCTTGGATGGTGGGGACTGTGTATGCTAACAAGGATTATCGGATGAGGAGAAGTCTTTGGGAGATGATTGAAAAAGCAACTAAATAAGACACTCCTTTAGTTATTGGAGGAGATTTTAATTGCTTATTATCTAATGATGATAAGAGAGGGGGAAAGAGGTTACTTTTCTCAAAAGGTCCTCAAGAAATGAAAATGTTTATGACTAACAATGATTTTCATGATGTAGGTACTATTGGTCCTAAGTACACTTGGTGCAAAAATAAGGATGGAAATTTGAGAATATGGGAAAGAATTGATAGATGTCTTCTCAATGCTGCTGCTCTTCAAAAAGTTCCATTGGCTCATGTTAGACACATAGCAAGAATTGCTTCCGACCATTGCCCTATAGCTTTCAAATTGTTGGAATCTCAACACAAGACTAATTTTATCAGATTTGAAGAGACCTGGAAATCATATCCAGTAGCTAAAAGCATTGTTTCTAATGCTTGGAGGAAGATTGATTATGGAAATGAAATGGATGTTTTACAAAAGAAGCTTAAAAGATCTTTGAGGTCCCTTTATTTCTAGAGCAAGAACAAACGCAAGTGCTTAAATTCTCTGAAAGAAAATTTAAAAAGGGAGATAGCTAATCTCCAATTGGAAGGAGCCTCTCTAGGTGTGCTGTCAGATGAGTAGCTAAGACTACTGAGATCTAAGGTGAATGATTTAAACATAACTTTGGGAGGACTTGCTACTTGGTGGAATCAAATAGCCAAGGTAAGATGGCATGAAGAAGGAGATATAAACTCAAATTTCTTTCATAAATTTGCTTCAGCAAAAAGGAATGGGAATCTGATTAGACAAATCAAGAATGATGAGAATGTCTTGGTGGAAGACTTTGAACAGATTTCAGCTATTTTCCAAAAAACTTTTGAAAGAAAGTGGCATTCTAGAGATTATATTTTAGAAGGATGGCCTAAATTCCCTGATGACAAGAAGCTCAACTCCATGGATATTAAATTCCTAAGCTCTGATTTCACTTAGGATGAACTTAAAACTGCTATTTTCCAGCAAGGCAGAAACAAGTCTCTAGGTTTGGACGGGGTTACTCCATCATTTTTTTCAGTTCTTTTGTAATACTGTTAAAGAATCGACCTGGAAAGCCGTTGATAACTTCTTGAAATCTGGAAGTATGAGAGATAATTGGAAGGATACTTTGATAGTTTTAATCCCAAAAGTCAAGTATCCGATGGTGCCTTCAAATTTCAGACCAATAAGCTTTTGTCAAACCACTTACAAGTTGGTTACAACCATGTTAGTCAAAAGAATTAAGCTTTGTATCTCCAAGCTTATTTTCGAAGAGCAGATTGCTTTCATCTCTGGGAGATGTATGTCCGAACATTTCTTACTTGCTCAAGAAATCTTCAACAAATTCAAGACCTCGAAGGACAAGAAAGGATTAATGGCAATAAAATTAGATATGGAACAAGCATTTGATAGCATGGGATGGACAACTTTGTTTCAAGTTTTACAAACTTATGGATTCCCTAATTCCTTTTGCAAGATTATCATGGAATGTGTTATGAATGTCAGGTTCTCCTTCATCTTAAATGGAAAATTATCAAGTTGGATCAAAGCTGGAAGTGGTCTTCATCAAGGCTGCCCATTATCTCCTTACTTGTTCATAATGTGTTTTCAGCTACTTTCCCATGCAATAAACCAGAGAGGCCAGCATTTGGGAGTTAGTATAACACCCAAAAATCAGAGAATTACACATCTCTTGTTTGCAGATGATGTATTAATTTTTTCCAAGGCTTCTTCAATAGCAGCTCAAGAACTCAAAACTATTTTATCAGATTTCTGCACTTGGTTTGGACAGAGAATCAATGCATCCAAATTTCAGATTTTATTTGGGAAAATGGTGAAGCTTCCAATGAAGAAACACATAAAGAAGAAGTTGGGTTTCATTTTGGTGAAAGAAATGACTTACCTTGGTGTTAAAATGGCTCTAAGAAGACTTAGAACATTTGATTTTCAAGGAATGATATACCTTATGTTAGAAAGGCTAAATGCTTGGGGAAGCAAGCAACTTTCCATGGCAGGTAAGATCACTTTGGTTAAATCTTCTCTCCTAACCTTGCCAAGTTTTTTATCAACTCATTCTTTGATTCCAAAGAAAATCTTGAATCAAGTAGATCAATTTTGTAAAGAATTCATATGGCATAAAGGAATGGGCAAAAAAGGAATACATTATGTTGCATGGGATGTTTTATGTAAACCAAAATCTGAAGGTGGCTTGGGTTTACATTCAGCCGTCCAATGGATAGGACCTCTTAGATCAAGGCTTGCTTGGAGATTTATTCAATATTCTGACAATCTTCTACATAGGAATATTATTACTAAATATGGTGATAATATTTTTGATGGAAAGAAAGCCGGCTCATCAACTTGGAAAATTTTACTTAATGGTGGAAAGTATCTCAGACCCATTGTTAAATGGATTGCTGTTAATGGGAAGAAACTAAATGTTATGAATGACATTTGGCTCTTGGATAAATGCTTAAACTCTTGGCCAACACTTGCTTCTTGTGTAGAATTAAATAATGTTAATCTGGATCTATTTATCATGGCTGATGGATCTTGGAATAAAATTCTGCTGCATAATTTCTTCAATGATGATCTCATTAATCTGATGCTACAAGTCAAAATTGATTATGAAGCTGAAGAAGACTATTTGGAAACCATTTATACTCATTATTGTTAGACTATAACTGCTATGGTTTATGAAGATTCATTAAAGTATCAATCTAAGGAGCAAGATTGTGATTTTCCTGATTGGATTAGAGGATTAAAACAGAACCCGAGAGTGGAGCTTTTCTGGTGGAGAATGAGCAAATTTTCTATTCCAACTTTTGAATTTCTCAAATATAGAAATTTAAGCCAAAATTATCAATGTCCAAGAGATTGTCATATGGTTGAGAACTATGAGCATATAATAGTTCATTGCAAATTTATAAAAGAAATTATTCTCAGATTAAGAGAATCGGGTTTCTTTATTCCTTTATTCTAATCTCTTGATTATTTCCTTGAAGAACTAAGAAGACACTCTTCACATTTTTCGAACATGGTGAAAATTTATCTTACGGTGGTATTTCTATCTTGCAAAAATAGAAATCACCTAGTTCATGGCAATTCCGTTTCTTCTAGCTCCTTTGTAGAAACTAATGTGCTGTTTTTGGCAAAGCAAAATTTATTTCCTAATCTAGATAACTGGGGTGCTAATCTCCTAAGAAAGTTTACTAATGCTTGGCACCCCCACCGCTAGATTGGATCAAAATAAATGTTGATGCATCTTTATTGAAGACAAATCAAGCCGGAAATTGGAGGCGTTTTTAGAGACCACAAAGGGAGTCTATTGTTGGCTTTCGGTAAAAAGAAGATTCATTGGAATATTTCTCAACTTGAATTAGATGGTGTCCTAACTATAAAGGAATTTATACAATTTTGGATGCTTGAGGCTAAAGGAGTTCATTGAAGGTGACAACATAAATATCATCAACTTCATTCAAAATTCTTTGAAGAAGTTTAAATGGCACTCAAACACAAGGTATGAGAAAGATCTTTTATTTCTCAATGATTTTAATAATGTTTTCTTTAATCATATACATAGAGATTGTAATAAAGTATCGGATGGTTGTGCTACTTTAGCTTTAAGCAATGATTTTTACTTTGATAGTTTCTCTTTTGCCAATATTTCTTCTAAATTGTCTAGTTTGTTAAAGAAGGAATGTGAGGCATCTCTTTCTTGTAATTTGTTTCATTTCCTTCAATGCCAATTACAGATTTGCATTTTTCAAAAAAAAAATCATTTAATTAAGGGGTTAAAAATTGACTTTTTAATTAAGAGTGTTTTTTGGAAAATTAAAATTTTATTAAAATACTAGACCTTAATACGATCAGTTAGACTATAAGTATGTTGAAATTGAATTTTTTTGGATTTTATTATGAAGGTTTGAAGTTTTGACTTAAAATTTGACTTGAGTTTGACCAAAAGTTGACTTTTTCAAATTTAATGATTTTATGGAATTTTAATATTTTTAATAAATATTATAAATTATTATGAGTTAAATACAACTAAGTTTGACTAATTTGGATTTTTCTTAAATTATTTATGAATTTTTTAAGTTTAAAGTATTTGTGAATTATTTAAATTGTTTAATTAGAAAGGGCTTTTTGTGATTTATCTCCAAATGAACTCTCAACTCCTTGAAATCAACTCAAAAGGTTAGGAATGACCTAAGAAGAGATTCCCATGTATTTGGGAATTTTCTAGAATTTTTTATTATTTATAATTAATTAAATTAATTAAATATTGAATTTTATTTAAAATTAAATTTAGTTTCAATTTGCTGTCAAATCAAAGGGCATTTATTTTTCATTGATTAGGTTTGAGTTCTAGTCAGTTTGGGGAATTGTTTATAATTTTTGGATTTAAATTTGATTTATTACAATTTTTAGAAGTTTTGAGGGTTAATTAAGTGTTTGAGTTTAAGAAAATTGATTAAGGGTTTTAATGATCTCTAAAACCAATGAAAATTTTTCTTAATGCTA